CACCAGTAATGTTGCAAAGAGACAGTGGAAGTTTGTAAGTGCTCTGTGAGCCCTTGACCTCCCAGCCCAACATCATCCAAGAAAGATATCACTGCATATAACAGCATGTTGGTGAATATGTAAAGCTCATGGTAAGAGGAAACCAGTTCTGTACCCCTGTGCAGTCAATGGGATCTTGCATTATCTTTATCTTAGTGATCTGCAGATGCCACTCTTAAGATTGGATGTGGTTACTTCTCCTTCACAGAGATCACTCAGTCTGAAGTGACCAATGACTAAGATTCCATGTGAACAGCACTTGTACCCCATGCAGTTGCATACTGCATGGATTTCACATGCAACGTTCTATTAATACAGATGACTTATCTATACTGTAAAAGTGCATAATAAATTTCATTGTCCTTTGATGGGCCTCATGTTTGTCATAAGTAGATCCCATCTGCTCAGATGGAAGGGTATTACTGGCTCCCCCCACTCCGGATATAGTTATGGCCATTTTCCATTACCAGTGTGCATTAACGAGTCGATTGAATATGGAAAGCAACGCAAGTTGCATTTGGCAGAGTCTCAGGCAAGGGCCTCTTCTGAACCTTCATGTGGTTGTTCTTCCTCAAATTCCCTGGCCAGCCCATCTCTACTGATCCCCCATAAGACTATAAAGCCAATAGATATAGCACAAGAATTATGCCATTTGACCCCCTGAGTCTGCTCTGCCATTTGATTATGGTTATGTTTCTCACTCCCATTCTCCTGCCCTCTCCCCATAACCTTTAATCCCCTTACTAATCAACAACCTATCCAACTACTCTGTCTTAAATACACTCAATAACTTGGCCTCCACAGCCTTCTGCAGCAATGAGTTCAAAAGATTCACCATCTTCCATTGGAAGAAATTCTTCCTCATCTCAGTTCTTAAAGGGTCGACCCTTCATTCTGAGACTGTGCCCTTGGGTCACAGTCTCTCCCACTAGTGGAAATATCTTCTCCATGTCAACTCTATCCAGGCCTCTAAGTTTCAATGAGATTCCCCACCTCATCCTTCTAAACTCTATTGAGTACAGATTCAGAGTCCTCAACTGCTCCTCATATGACATGCCCTTTATCCCCAGGATCAATCTTATAAACTTCTTCTGGACTCCCACCAATGCCAGCACACCCTTTCTTAGATATGGGGCCCAAAATTGCTCACAATATTCCAAATGTCGTCTGACCAGAGCCTCATATAGCCTCAATAGAACATCTTTGTTCTTGTAGTCTAACCCTCTTGAAATGAATACTAATATTGCATTTGCCTTCCTAAATACCAACCGAACCTGCATGTTAGCCTTTAGAGAAACTTGAACTAAGTCCCTTGAGTTTCAGATTTCTGAAGTCTTTGCCCATTTAGAAAATAGTCTATACCACTATTCTTCCCATCAAAGTGCATAACCTCACACTTTCCCACATGAACCCATACAGCGCTTTGAATTTTGTCTGTAGCTCTCATCATTACACCCTGAGCTCTAATCCTGGCATTGTACTATCCATTTCCCTAACACAGCAGTGTTCCCTGATAAGCCCCCTTGACTTTCATTGAGCTATTCCCTAGGACTGACTGTTGTCCAATCCATCACCAACTTTGAGAGAAGGGCCTGACTAATGAGTGACTAGACTACCGATTGATTTGTGTACAGCTCCTGATTGACTCAATGTCAATCCCATGACATGTTTGCATTGCATCTGAAGGACTGACTGTGGCTCACTCCCTACATAGTGATGAAACAGTCCCCAGTCAGGTCCTACCCAAGCAGTTGACTAATCAGGTCCAAACCCCTGGACTGGAAATAGATGACGCTCTTTATCAGGATTCCCTGACTGATGGCACTCTTGATGTGACTGAGGAATGCTCCACTTGGACTTTAGGGCATGGCCAATTGACTGATGCATATGCAGTGTATATGCTGTGTAGGCTGCTCGCATATGCTGCAGATGTAAGATTAACATAACATGACGCTGTACGGCAACATGTCCATCTCCTTGAGTGATGACTGCTGACAACTTCTGCAAGCTGCCCTGGCTTTGTGGCTGCACTATGCAGCTAGGCAGGCAGAAGTACTGTAAGACTTTAAGCTCTGGCTCAGGGGGCAAAGTATCAAAAGGCAAGGCAGAGATGCTGTTAGCACCAAGCAGGCACAAAGTGAGTGAGAGCTAAGAGAATGAGCAAGCAGCCTTGAAGTGCAGCCTGGTCTAATTCATGAGCTGGGTGCATGTTCTTACATCAAACTGTCCTGGCAGCAGCATTGCAATGAAACATGCTGGCGTGCTCGAAAGTGCAGCATTGAAGTGCAGAACTGTCGTGTCATTGGATCATAGATGTTTCTATTGTGATGCAGTGAAGTTGATATGTATCAGATAATGACGTTCATAGATTGGGGGTTGTGTGCTGATGCTGTTATGTATCAGATGCCAGGTTCACAAACTGGAATGTGTGAGGTCACTGCCCAGGGAGTGATCTCTGAGATGTCAGTGATTGGTGTCCAAGGTGGAGGTCTGGAGGAGCAGGAGGTGAGCTAAAGTCTCCAGATACCTGCTGTATCTGTCATGTCAAGAATTATCATCATCAAGTTTCTATCCAACAAATGGGAGAATGGAAAGCTGTGTATCAATGAGGTGAGATTAGGAAGTAGTGAAATGTAAATGAATGCTAATTTTGTACATCAATCCCTCACTGTGCCATAGCGAGAATCCCATTTCACCATTCAACAATACATCGGAAAATGAGACTTTTTACTCTTGATGTCAAGAAATTCCTTACTGTTCAGGTCAGATTTTTCTTAATTTTCTCACCTTTGCCAATGCTGTTTTCTGCCCCATTAAAAAAATAACTCAAATGATGTCTCTGAAAGACTATTTTATCACACTTCTGTGTGAAATTGTCAAATGACCCATGACTTCATTTTAGAACTGTGTCTGCTAAAAATGTTCCATGTAAGTATAATTTAAAAGATGGAGCGATAGAAGTTTGTCTGCACAGCATTGACAGACTGGCTGAGCTTTGCAGTGGCAGGCAGACACTAGCTGTGTGACTCATGCAAATTTCTTTAAGGATATCAACTAGAAATGTTGGTGCGCAAATAAATTTGTCCGAGAGACGTTGTGATGTATTGAGGATTGTTATCAATTCACAGAATCACAGAATTGTTATGGTGCATTTAGTCTATTGTGTCAACCACCTTGTCTTAGATATCAGCTAGCGCCGGATTTCCGAGCAGTGGGGAGGTATTTTGTGATGAGACTGAATGAGGCGTTTTCTTTTAACTAGTTGCCCACCTGGAAACTGAGCTGATTTGGGCTTGGCTCCCTGTAGATGGAGAATGCACGTGACAATAAAAGGATATTGTATATTGTATTTAGCGTATGTGACGGTTCAAAGAGATTCTGGCTATGGGGCGGCACGGTGGCTCAGTGTTTAGCGTTGCTGCCTCACAGCGTCACGGGCCTGGGTTCAATTCGACCCTTGGTTGACTGTCTGTGTGGAGTATGCACATTCTCCCCGTGTCTGCGTGGGTTTCCTCTGGGTGCTCCAGTTTCCTCCCACAGTCCAAAGATGTGCAGGCTAGGTGAATTGGCCATGCTAAAATTGCCTGTAGTGTTCGGGGATGTGTAGATTAAATGGGTTGTAGGGGAATGGGTCTGGGTGATATGCTCTGAGGGTTGGTGTGGACTTGTTGGGTCGAAGGGCCTGTTTCCACACTGTAGGGATTCTATGATAAAGCAGTAAATATGTGCTGCTCAGCTGTAGATTTTTAAGTGTTGTGGGCAGTTTTAGAGGGTCAGAAAAACTGAGTTAGAAATGGGACTCCAAGAGTTCAGAGATTGTGGAGCAGCATTGTAAATCACAAGAGGGAATCATGATCACAGGATGGGTCCAATCACAAAGAGGGACAGTCTAATTGTTTGGCAGTATTGTTGGTCCATGCTTATGAGTGAGGTCCTATCATATAGAGTGAAAAATAGGTTTGGTTGGGCTTTGGGAAGTACACCTGCTCCTCTTGGCCCGCAAACAGTGCTAGAAAAGGAATGTACCCCATCCTCACAATCATCAAGTTTAAGGCCTGGGAGAGAAAATCAGACTCAATTTCTGACTCAGATCTCACTTCATATCACCACATATATTTTCTCATCATTAATTTCACTTTTATTTTGAATCAACATATTCAGACATGTTTCAACATACCTCTGGGCATGTGGGAGTTGTATTCGACCTCTGGCCTAGAGATAGGAAGAGTACAACTGTGTCACAAGACCCCTTTGAAAAGGCAATTTATTTACAGTTTAATTCTATTAATTAAATCAAAGGGGTTGCCATTTAGATGATGGACACCACTTGAAAGGAGCAGTTAGAGATAAATAATTCAATTTATGCCACAGCTATACTCACTTTAGATTTAAGTGCCTGAAAAAATTAAGGCTGTTTAAATGTACTGCGAACAAGAACAGTAACAACCTGCATGTCTCTAATGACTTTAATGTCGTAAAACATTTAGCCATAGCAATTTACAACACAGATGGAGGCTGTTTGGCTCATCATGTCTATACTATCTCTTTCAAAGTCCAATCATGATTAGTCACGAATCCCTACTTCTTATCCATAAATCTGTAAGTGCCTCAACCCAACTTTGTTTCAGATTGTTCAGAACATTTGTGATTTCATAATGTTGACATTAAGCACATTTCCACTCTGTGCAGCTGTAAATATTTCCACCCACCAATTGCAATACAATCTCACTGAGAAAAGTCAACTTTGAGTGTTTGTAGTAGATATGTTGATATGGAAGATTTTCCACAAACAAGTCGCTGTTTGATGCGCTTAAACTGTAAGTTTAACTGATAAGTATTGTTTCATCACAGAAAAGAGAACCAGTAATAAAAAGATCAAGAAGCATAATGTCTAAAGTCATGCGCATACATAATGATGAGGACCTTGCTAATGGAATGACCAATATCTTCAAATTCAGCAGATCAACACCTCTACTTCTGCGGATTCAATTCCTTCCGAAAATGGGGAACCTGCACTGCAAAACCCACCAACTGATGTCAGCCCAAGCACAAATCAAACCACCTCAACCGGTAGGAAATTTTAATTAATACAGAATTTATTGTGAGACTGATTACTGTTTGTAATAATCACAGCTAAAAGGGAAGAGCAGTTAATTAAGAAACCTATCATTCATGCATTCATTAATTTTTTTGTGAAATGAGATGTGTTAATCCCATTTTATTAGGCCAATTCCTCTTCATTGTCAGGTACTGAAAGGTCCTAAGGAGGATGTCAGAGTGGCTGTTCAATTGGAATTGAGCAAGCTTTCTATTTCTGTTGACATTCCTGTGTATTTAGCTTTATCTAAAAATGCTTTGAACCTTAGTTAAGCCTGCCACTCAGAAATGAACTTGCGTCAACATTAAGACAGCGATTTACCACACAGTACATTGCACTGCTTTTATGACAATGGTCTTCAGTAGTCTTTACACAATATTTTCCTATGTCAGTTTGCTAACAGATCAATTGGAATAGTAATTGGTAGAAATCCCATGTCAGATGGGTATAATTTGCTGGAATGCATGGAATCATAATGAATGGTGGAGCCAAATGGCCTGCTCCAGCTCTTACTTTCTATGATTCCATGCATAAAGAGCAGAGTCTAAAATCTATTTTGGTAGCAAAACCAGCAACAGCCAAAAGAAGGAAGAACAAGCACTATTCAGTACTCTTTACAACATTAGGGCATCCCAAAGTACTCTATAAACAATGGAAGTATGTTTGAAACAGTTATGTTTGTAATGCAGGCAAACATTGTTGACAATTTGTGTACAGCAAGGTTTTGCAAAGAACAGTGAGACAAATGATCAGATGCTCTATTTTACATTATATGAATGATAAATATTGGCCTGGATAGATAAAGAACAGGTCATTCAACACCTCAAGGTTGCCTTTTCATTTTATTAACATATGGTTTATCTACATTTCTTAATACATTGATCTAATTATCAATCTCCATGTTTAATCTTTCAACTGCCCAAGCACCCACAACCTTCTGGGGGATAGAGTTCCAGATTTCTGCTGCTTTTGTGCAGAAGTTCCTGAACGATCCACCTTTTGCTTTAATATTATTTCCCATTACACTTCACTACCCCCATGAGGGAAATTAATTTCTCCACATGTACCCTACCAAATATTTATAACATTTTAAGCGTCTTGATTAGATTAGCCCTCAATCTTTTCTATTCAAGAGAATATTCATTAGGTTTAAGTGACCTATCCTTATAATTTAACCAACAGTTTACAGACTATTTCCAATATGACCCCATTTTAACTCTTGAAAATTAACAGTCACCAACAAAACAAAATTGACATCTAAAGCAGCATAGTAACATACATAATTCATGTTCATATAAATATGAAAACCTGAGTTTAAATTATGCTGTACATAAGCTAATAGCAGAAACAAAAACAGACGTTGTTGGAAAAGCTCAGCAGTTCTAAGGAAGGCTCACGGGACCAGAAATGTTAACTTAGATTTCTCTTCACTGATGCTGCCAGACCTGCTGATCTTTTCCAACAACGTCTGTTTTTGTTTCTGCTATTATCTTATGTACAGCATAATTTAAACTCAGGTTTTCATATTTATATGAACATGAATTATGTATGTTACTATGCTGCTTTAGATGTCAATTTTGTTTTGTTGGCGACTGTTAATTTTCAATTCAATGCTGTAAATCAGAAACAAAAACAAAAGCTGTTGGAAAAGCTCAGCAGGTCTGGCAGCATCTGTGAAGAGAAATCTAAGTTAACGTTTCTGGTCCGTTCAGCCTTCCTTAGAACTGCTTTTCCAGCAACTTTTGTTTTTGTTGCTGATTTACAGCATCCACAGTTCTTTCAGTTTTTATAAGATAATAGCAGTTTTACACATGTTGATTTCAGCCAAACTTCGCATATTCCCTCTTGACAAGAGAATTCTGTCAAGAGCCTCCCTTTCACTTCCAGTGCCCACATTGTAACCACCTTTCCCTTCCCCCCTCTCTTACACATACCTCTATACACACACACTCCTACACACACACTCACCCCACAAACGCAACAGCCTCTATTCCCAAAAGCCCCTCCATTCCCCCACCCACCCCTTCAATCATACAGCAACTCGGTTCCCCCATCCCCTATTCTCTTGCGTTGCAACCCTTCTTTCCAAAACCCCTTCACCTTATTTACTGGCTGCACTCACTCCCTTCCCATTTTTTGTCTAGTTGCTACAGTACAGACATTCCAGACATATTTTGCAGAGATAGTGGTAACTATTTAGAAGTGATGAGAACAGATCACCACAGAATACAGAAGTTCTGATATGCTCTAGCAACCATAGCTTTCACATCCAGCTGTATTCTTGGCCATGGTAATGACGTTGATGAGGGAAACTTCAGTGATGATAATGGCATTGAAAGGCAAAGAGAGCTGTTTAAATTAATTTGTTGGAGTTAGTCACTGCCCAACACTAATATAAATGTTGCTTGCCACTTAACAACCAATGTCATCCTAATTAAACTCTCGAACGGTTTTTATGTTGGAGTTTACAAAGTATTATTGATACTGTTAATTCCCTCCGAAACTTTGTGAAAGCCAGCAAACACATTAAAATGGACAGTTTTATCTCACTGCTTCTTTGATGATGGGCAGAAGGTGATAAATGTCTCAAATTATTTACAATCTATCACAATCCACCAAAGTAAGGAGGATGTTTGATATTGAGTAAGCTCATGACAAGGTGCTTTGTGTCATGTCTATTTAGAGGCTGTGCACTGCAGTTATTACATGGTTCTGGCTGACCAGGTGGCTCTCAGATGTAAACATGCGCACAGTGAATAGATAATAATTTGGCTTCCTGAATGATATTCCAGACATTACCTTAGGTTGCCTGGAAGGAGCTTGTCCTTTAAAGATTGAGTGTGTGGCAGGGAGGCTTCATAATTACATCAAGATTACCACAGGTAGATCGCCAATGTTGCAGGTTGCCATGTAACAGGGGGCAGAGTTTCTGTATTGCTTCTTTAGTAAAATACACATAACATATATGCAAGTCTTCCCAAAGCCTTGTTGCGGTTGGAGGGATGGGGCAGATAAAACTGGTGCTTTTCTTTAATAGTACTTGACGCTCACTGATTCCATCTCTGTTGCCCTTCCATAATTACAGCATGCTCATTGGTAAATGTAATTCCATTCCTGAGAATATGGCCAGATTGTGCAAGTGGGGAAGCCATGTGAGGAGGAAAGGGTGAGGAGGGTGAAAGTTTGGCCTGTTTGGATGAGGTCACTACCAAGTCTATAATGGTGTGGCATCATGAGTAGAAAATGACTTCAGTGAGATGTTCCCACCTGCAGAACGATGAATGAGGCTCTGCATACTCTTGGGTTCAGATATCTTTATTTCTGCCTGTCCCAGTTTATCCTGACCAAGTTGTAGCTTACAATTGACGGTGCTTTGCAAGTGCAAAAGTAGGAAATACAGTGCCACCAGGCCTCATTATAATTTACTCAACTGAGGTTGTTAAGGAGACAGTAAGGAGATCTTCTAGCAAAATGGAGAATATCCCTGCCTGTGAGCCAGATGATCTGGGTTCACATTCTATTTAAGGACTTGATGGACAAGGAAAGTAGGTTCATAACATAACCAAAAACAGGTTGAGTATCAACTTATACATTATTCCAATTTGACAGTAAGAATGGCCAACTATGTAATGGGAAGAAAATCGGAATCTCAACCATCACTATGCTCAGCTACAATATGCACAAAAAAGTTGGTTCAGTTAGCTGGAGGGATAGTGTAAATCAGATTGATACAAAGAGCATTGGACACAATTCTGGTTTTGGCGGGGATGGGTTCAGAGCTTTTTACTTGCCCAATCTGTGCTGAGATGGATCTGTCTTTGGGCACAGAACTGAAGAACAGGAGAAGACAGTCGATAAATTTCAGAATCACGAAACTGTTACGGTGCAGAATAAGCCAATCGGCCCGATGTGCCCATAGCAGTTCTTAAAACTAGCATCAACACCTTTGCACACTATTTCTATCCAAGTAATCATCCAATGCCATCTTGAATGATTAAGTTGAAGCTGCCTCCACTATATTTCCAGGCAGCACATTTCATTTTGGCACACCCTGCTGCCCCAAGTCCAGGGAAGACTAAAAGATTATGACCAGTGCCCCCCTAATTTCTACTCTCACTTCCTTCAAATTTCTTGGATGTATCTCATACAGTCCCAATGCCCTGTCAACTTTAATCACCACAGTCTATCCAAGACTTCTTCCTGACTAATTTTGAACACAACTAGTGACAGAGTTTCCTCCTCTTTCACAATGGCCTGGGCAGAAATTTCTTCTTCTATAAAGACAGATGCAAAGTATTAATTTAACTCATCATATACTTTCTGCATCCATCCCCTCGTTAACCTCTAAATGACTCTTCTCCTGCATTAGCCAGTCTTTTGCTATTTGTATCCCTATAGAAGACTTTGGGATTCCCCTTAAGTTAACTGCTACACTTTTCTCATAATTCCTCTTTCCATTCCCTTATTTGTTTTGTCACCCATCTAAATCTTTGATATTCCTCTTGGTTCTCAAATGTATTTTCTGCCTTGCATCTGTCATAAGCAGACCCTTTCCTTCTACTTTCTAATGCCTTTGTCATCCAGGGGATGCTGGATTTGTTTGACCTACCTTTCCCATTTGAGGGAATATACCTCAATTGTACCTGAACTATCTGCTCTTTGAAAGTGGCCCGTTGTTTCAGTTACTGTTTTTCCTGACAACCTCTTATTCCAATCAATTCTGCTCAGCTCTGTGAAAACACCTGAAAGAACTGCGGATGATGGAAATCTAAAACAAAGACAGAAATTGCTTAAAAATCTCAGCAGGTATGGCAGCATCGGTGAAGAGAAATCAGAGTTAATGTTTCAGGTGCAGTGACTTAGACCTGCAGGTTGTTTTACAAGTGCTTTTGAGAGGGCTTTAACCTAATTTGACAGAGGTGTGAGAACCAAGGAAGAATAGTTAAGCAGCATACCAGGGCTCACAAAATAC